CAATGAATGAATGAGCAAGAATCAATGTCCGATTGATCCCTCTTACTGTGGATCTGAAAGAGCCCTCCTTTAGCTCACTTCCCCTCTCTTCTCTAATTGCTATGGCTGCTGGCTATGGCGGAACATCCAGGGCTACCTCGGATGTTCAAAGGACAGTCCAGCTACTCTCATGTCCTCCCCTCTGCCTGTCCTCCAAATCAAGTCCATGTACAACTGGTACCCCTACAGGGGGCTTGAAGTTCTTGACGCAGCGTCAACCAGGAAGATGAAGATGTAAATCCTCCATAGACAAAGGTGAGTCTCCTTCCCAGTTCCCACCTCTTTCCTCCTCCTTCAACCTCACGCTAACACCATCTGCTACCATACCCTCCTACCTCTCCCTACTACTCGTCCAAGCCATGGAGGTCTTCTCCCTCACCCTGCAGCTCCACCTTCAACTTCCAGGAGCCCCGCCAAACCATCCCTCTTGTAGGAGCGACAGCATGACTGCCGGTTGATTGAGCAGAATGCCTGCCCAGCCTCCAGTACCTGTTCGTCGGGCGCTTCCGACCACTACCCCCGACCTCCCTTGGGCGCACTAGGCCTACCGGGAGCTCCTGCCTTTGGCGGGAACATCATTACAGACTGATATCTACCCATTACTATGCATCTTTCTCACAGCGTACAAGTGGGCCGTTATGGCACACGGGGATGCGGGTAGCTCACGCTCAACTTCATCAACGTGGTGAGCCTTGTAAGCAAGAGGCACGGTGAAGGGGGAGTTGAAAGAAGAATGAGAAAGATGAATGGTTTCAATGCGCCCCTCATCTTTGTCTTGTTTTTTAATCTTTGCCGTTGTGTTTCACAAAGTGTGCTCTCTCACAGTTATGTGACAATATATATCCTGATGCAATGACTTGCTGGTTTCTGGTCGTCTGTAGCCTCTCTCTTGTCGAGGCTGTACTATTTGTAGGATAGATTCGTTGCTTTGTTTGGCTGAGGGCTAACCGAGAGACCTGCCTGTAAGGAAAATTCGTGAGGGACATATCTGTAAATTCGGGAAAATACAGGCCCGTACTAACTGAATTTCCTACAGCTACCCTAACTGCTAATAGCAGACCCGGGCTACCCCTAGGACAGACAGGCCCCAAGGACCTAAGCTAATAGACGGTCCTATAGCCTATAGCCGGGGTTGAGAGAGGCCCCAGAGGCCGAAACAGACAGGGTACCGGTCGGTCAGTCAGTCCGGTCTAGGTCGAGTCTAGGCTAGAGTAGACTATAGATAGGTTAGGCACATCGGTTCAGGGCTTTAGGCAGTTGATACCGAGTGCATCGCTGTTGTGCAACGAGTGAACTGGAAATGGTGACGGCTCAGCATTGAGGGAGACAGACATAGCCAGACCTTCAGAGCGCCGGCCATAGCTGGGACCTGCGCTGCACTCTGTCAGTACGCGGGGCTGTACAGAGGTCTGGGCTATACGAGGTCTGCTGGAGGCGAGAGAAGTGGTGCCCTGCTGGACCCTCCTCCGGAGTAGGGTTACAGGGTTGTGGCGCTGCAGCCATAGCTGCAGCTTCTTCCTTAGAGGTCATCTTGTCCGGAGTGGTGGCGCTGCTGCAGACTTCCACGCGGGAAGTCTTCGGACACTTCGTCATCATCAGATACTGTGGCGCTGGTCTTCTTCTTCATCCTCTGAGTGGCGCTTGGCCTCAGAGGCCTGTTTCTGGGTGGCGCTGCCCTCTGAAGGCAGTAACTGGGTGGCGCGTGATGTTTCAGGGACCCAGGGGTGTTACGAGTGGTTACTCAGGGTTGGGGAGTGAAGCGCTGCTCATTTCTGAGCAGCGCACTGTAGTTCTGGGGTTATTCTGACAATTTGAGACTCTGAGTTTCATAATCAGTGTGATACTGGGTTTGGACTATTGAAACGGTATTCACCAATTCGTGGTAGCTGAGGTAGATCCCAGGGCTCGATCCCTAGTTCCCCAACTTACCTGTGTACAATACCTGCGTCAACTCGAAGAGTTGAACCTGCGACCTGTAGAACCGCCAGTGGTAGGTAGGTCTGTCGTAGGTCT